TCCCCCCACCCCCGCCCGCGGCGGGCTCGGTGCCGCGGGGAGGCGGGGAAGGGAGCCGGTTTCACTTTGCTGGGAGAAATACGGTTTAAACACATGGAACCCACGGGAAAAACGGGATTCAGCCGCTTTTTTTTCCCCTTCGAGGGCGGGCAGCTGGTGTGCATCGGCCCCTGGGACAACAGCCTTTCCCTTGGGTGATGCGGGTGTGCAGCGCAGACTTCAGAGGGGCGAAGGTGGCCTGGCTCGGTAGGTGAGACCCCCAGGGAGGCGATTTGCATCGCTCCGGTGAAGCGTGATACCCAGCTCTGCTTTTACCCCCACGATCAACGTGAAACTCGCACGAGTGCAAGCCCACTGGACCCAGTTTGTCCATCCCAGGCGCTGGCAGACCCGTGTTGGCAGTGCTCAGGGCTCCAGCGGGCTCCTGGCGGTGCGAAACACAGCAATAAGCGAGTCATATTCCTGCCTCTGTTTTACCGGCTGCCCCATGGGAGCACCTCGAAGCAGCAGGCAGACAAAGCCAACGCTATCACCAAGGGTCTCCCGGGGCTGGCTGTGTGCCCTCGCCCCTCAGTCAGCATGGGCCAGGGGGTCTCTGCCTGCCCTCCTGGGCAGTGGCATGAGTTCATGCCGTCCCTGTACCCCACACCTCTGCCGTGAAATAACCCTCATTCCCCAGGCAGGAGGGAGGACTGACCACAGCAGCAGAACGAAGGACGCGATGACTGCAAAATACCGCGTCAGCTCTGCAAACCACTGCACCATCACCGCCACGGACAGGTCCACCACTGCCTTCTCTTTACAAATGAGTAAACCAGAATCCAAACCCTGGTTTCCAGGCTGCTAATCCACAGGGAAGAGGCAGCCTCCACCCCCTGGGTGTCTCACAATTCAGTTTCCCCGCGCTGCCCCTAGCAAGTAACCTCGCTGCCGGGGAGCAGAGCCAGCGGAGCTTTCCCTGATTTATACTCCCTCTCCCACTACAAGCAGCTTCTGTGGAGTTCCTGTCCTACCCCCAAGGAAGGCGCTGGCTCCTGCCATGCTGAGATAAGCTGTTTGCCAGTGTGTCAGCGCTCTGGAGATAAGTAAACAGGAGGCGTAATTTGATTTGCACTGATTAAGCTGCTGGTGTAGGTGAACTCTAGCAAATAAAACAAGCCACAGTGAGGACCCAAACATTTTCTCCTCACTAATACTTCAGGGGCAGCAAAATTGAAAATATTGATGTTTGTAAAAGTTTCCAACCAAGAGTTGTAGATTTTTTTTTCCTTTGCTTCTTCCTATAACAGGGTGTTTAGAAGGAAGGGGTGGGGTGAGCAGGGCACTGAGCTGCTCAGTACTCTGGCTGTTCATGTCGCAGGAAGGTCAGGGAAGGGGACCAGGAGAGATGGGAAGCTTGAAGGGCTGGGTTACACTGTCCTTACAGGATTATTTTATTTCTCCGTTGGAAAAACTAATTGCTGCATAAAAGTCATAATCACCAAACAGAGCATAGAAATACGCACTATTTTACACACTGTGGGAGGACAGACGTGGGGTGAAAGGGTTAAGTCGGGAGCTGGGGTCTGAACATGAAGTCTGTCTCCCCTGCAAGCACCCAGTGAGCTGTAGCCAAGCTTCAAAGGCATGAAAAGGAAGTTTGGGGCCTAAAATCCCATTGACAACAACCGGGGTCAAGCCTGAGACTGCCATGTGGGCTGCTGAAAACATCCCTCCGTGCTTCCAGATGTCTGTCTACGAGGCAGGGAGGGTAACGCAGCCGTGCCGCACGGCATGTGCAGAGAACGTGTTTGGGAGGCGCTCAGACATGTGAAACACATAAGAGTCTAAAAAACCAGCAGATCACACCCTTCAGAAAATATCCCTCTGTCCCTGGGTCCCCTGTTGTCACTTATGACTAAACTTTGGCGTGGCACAGAAGGAATCTGAAACCCTTTTCTGAGCTGTTGGCAGCTATTCTCCGTGGACGCTCTCCTCCCCATCCTCATCCCTCGGACTCTGCTCGACTGTCCCCTGCGCTCCAATCCTTTCCTATTTTATCCTCTCTGCTACCAAACTTCACAGTGCTCAGTTTGTCAACTGCAGCTCCATTTCCCTTCAATGATTAACTCCAACTGTCCAAACACACAGGGCTCTGGGGGAGCTGTTCAGATGCCCAAACATAGGCGTCGAGTGCCGGGGTACCCTGCCTGGCCTCTGCTGCCCCAGGAGGGAGGGAGCCTGCATAGGTCCAGTGCTGTATCTAGCAGCCCCATGGAGATGTCTTGGATCCCCAGCAGTGCCTAAAACTGCATTAGACACCTACGTTTTGGGCACTGGAGCTGCTCCCCCGAGGGCTGCATTTGCACGTTTCATTTCTTTGTTTTTCTTGGCAGGCTGTGGACGGAGGCAAATCCAGACTCTTGGGAGGGAGGGGATGAAAGTGACCCCACAACCTGAGTTTGTGTCTTTTTTTTCCATAGCCCTGCTCTCCAGAATGTACATGTGCATTTTACCATTGCTATAACTGCACTCCCTTTGCTCCCCAAATATTATTCTGCAGTCTCCCACTCCTTTTGCCCACATCGATCTGAGAGGTCTCACCCTTCTTATGCATAAGGAATCCAACCTGCAAAAATGTGAATACCCACAAGAAAGTACCCGTTTTCCTGTTAGCTGATCACAACCCCTCAGGAGAAACGAAGCCTAAGGTCTCTTCAGCCAGACCTCCTAATGTAAGCAAGCTGTTCCCTTCACCAGTTTCCCGGCTTATGTACGGTTTTAAATTGATGTTGTTAATTCAGTGACAGATGCACAAGGTGCCATTAGTGGGTCTTCTTAAATGGAAGCATAATTTTTACCCATCAAGATCCTTTTACCATGCTGATGCTTGCAACCTTCACTGGGGAATATGAGCCACAGCAGGGAGCTGGTCGTAATTTCAACAGTCTTGCAAAAAAGTAGTGACAACAGATGCGTGCTGGTTTTGGGGCTAGTTTGAGTCAAAGCATCTATGCTTATGGCAGGTTTGCCTCTTCCTGCACTGAAGCTGGGTCTGGTTTTGAGTTATTTGGCTTATGATTGTCTTTGGTTGATTTGCAGGGCTGAATCCAACATCTGCCCTTGTGGGACAATTCGTATTGGCTTTTTCTGGAGTTGTATTAGGGGCGTAGTGACTTTTGCCAGACAAAAGGTACTTCACAGCAAGGACTGGGACAGCATCTCCCCAGACATGCTGGAAATGAAGCTTAGGAGAAAGTCACTCAGTAATACAAGCTGAGAGCACAGTTCCCTTGCCCTTTAGTAGCTGCCTTTACTCAGAGCCCGCAGACAAGGGGACAATTACTGGTGCTTGCGGTGGGGTGAGTTCCTGTGATGTGGTGGTTTGCCCGCTGGGATCTCTTCTGAGGTCAGCAGCCCATTTTGGATCATGCAGCACTGGGCAGCTTTCAGATGGGAACAATTTTTGGTAGTAGCCATCATTACAGGCTGCACATGAGATCATTTAATCTTCAATAGATACTTAAGGAAGTCTCCCGGAGACTGGCTTTTGAGCACAGCTGCACACTCGTGCATGCACGTAAAAGGGAAAGAACAATTTTTGGTAGTAGCCATCATTACAGGCTGCACATGAGATCATTTAATCTTCAATAGATACTTAAGGAAGTCTCCCGGAGACTGGCTTTTGAGCACAGCTGCACACTCGTGCATGCACGTAAAAGTGAAAGAGGCTACTAAGAGGAGAAAAGAATTGCCCTTATTCCCTCCTCCTCTGGGAGGACCGTCTCCACCATGGGCTCTGTTTCATTGTGCCAATAAAACTGGAACCAACAGTATCACTTGAATTTGCAAGACTGCTTATCAACCCACAAACATTCAAGGGAATAATTGTTCCCTATCAGACCATGTGTAGTGTTTGAAATACATTGGGGTGTGTGGGGAGGTTATGGTGGGGAAGCCAGCACCAGAAATGGCTTTTCTGCAAAGCTGGCAGCTTAGAAGAGGAGCCAGGGGAGAGATCGGAGTGCTGTACGGTGCGCTGCAGAGAATTCAGGTGCAAGCTACAGGAATTTTCTCATTGGAAACCCCTTCCAAGAGGCAAGCAAGCTTGCCAGGCACCAGATGTTTGTGACTAGTTACAAAGAGCTGCAGTCAAAGCCCTTCAGACGCAAGCTTCTTTTGTGAGCGCACTTGTGGTTTACTGGCTTCTCCCTAATTAAGCTGAGCCTGGAGGAGAGGAGGCCCAGGGATCTGCATCCGTTTCAGCCATGTGAGTCTGAAGAAGGTTTTTACCACTTTTATTGACCATGGGGCTGATGCCATGGAGTTTGCATACAGCAGGAGGTAGGGTCAGCATGACAGCATTTGACAAATGCTAGAGGCTCCTGATAAAGAAGGGAGGGTGTTCTGTGAATTAAACACAGGGGAGTGTTTCTGGCTTGGTCACTCATGTCCTGGGTGTCAGGAGGTGTGGGGAGCTGAGTCGTGGGCACTGGGTCGTGCTCTGTCTCTTTGTGCTCGGGAAGCCTTGCCTGAGTATCCAGTGGAGGGACCATGCCATACATTTGGGAACTCCTGGAAGTAATGAAGCTGTTGCTGGCTCCTCTGTTGTCCTGCAGACCAGGGACAGGACAGAGGGGGTTGCTGAAGGGCAGCACTGGTGGTTGGTGCACAGTGCTCTCTGGATTATGGTATCTAGAGATACGTGCCCAAATAGTACTTTTGGAAATAATTCTCAGGCTTCTCTGTCCTGGGGTTGGGGTACTGCATCCCTGATACTGTCTTCTTCCAGCTGTGCCCAGAAGAGCTGGACTTGGCACTGAACTGGGCAGTGTGCATTGTGGCTGGACGACCCTGTGGGGACACAACGTGAACTGTTTTGCATTGGGTCTATTAAGAACCAGATATAAATGCCCAGGTATTTGGTGTCTCATTTTCTTTCCCTTTTCTGTGTGTATGTCTTCTCCTGAAGCACCTGAGATGGGGCACAGGCAGAATGGGGTTACTCAGTAAGGCTTATGCTCTCAGGGGTTTCAGATATCATGCCTGGTGGCTGTTCAAAATCAAATTGCAGAAGTCTACAGAGGTTCTGTCTGCTGTTTGTCTGCTCTCTTTGGTGACGTAAAGGGGATTTACAAAGGAGATGGAGACTTTTCTCAGAGGTGCCCAGCGAAAGTATAGGAGGCAATGGACACAGGTTGCCAAACCAAAACAATCAGTGAAGGTGGTCAAACACTAGGGCCATGGGTAACCTGATCAAACTTGGAAGTTGGCCTGACTTTGAGCTGGAGGTTGGGCTAGAGACCTCCAGAGTCCTTTTTGACTCGTATTTTTCTTTGATGCTAAGCATCTAATAAATGACCAACTGTAATTGCTGCTGGGCTTACTGACCTATATGGCATCTCACAGTCCTTCAAGTCTTGCAGCTTCTTAGATGATTAATGCCTCGTTAAATCATACTACGCAGAGGAACAATCATCCCTCCCAATGCATGCACTACCATCCAGACTGGATGCTCTGAAAGGCTTCTAGGAAAGGCAGGGAAATAACGTGGCACATTTCTGACAACCCAAGTGCGACCCCTTCCCTCGCCTATGACATGGACAAGAGCCAACCCTGGATGAGATGCCAATACTAAAACTGGTAGTAAACAATAGAACTAAACAATGACAGTATTTTCACACAGCTTGCATGAGTGCAGCTACAAACTCCCAAGTCTTTTGTTTTGCAGTTTAAAGACAAAACAAACATAACAAAAAAATTCATCCTTGGAAATGTAATTCCCTCCACTGAACAAAGCAGCCAGCAAAATTCTAGGGGGCAAGTTATGCAGGAGGTCAGGGTGGAGGTTATGAGCGGTCCCTTTTTGGCCTTAAACTCTATGAAAATCACAGCTCCAGCGAAGTCAATGGCAGTTTTGTCCCAGTGATTTCAGTGGGGCCATGGTTTCCGGGCACGGATTTGTGTTCTGCCTCAAGCCAACCCTGCTTCCATCAATCATACCTCTGTCAAACTAGTTAAAGTGAATGAGGAAGGATTTGGTCCAGGCAGAACAGCACCATCTCAGCTCAAACAAATGGACGCTTGTTTTAGGGGCAGATTTACCAAGAGATTTCCGTGGGCTGTCACCTGTGAATTAGTGTGACCCATTGCTGAGGGTGCCCCCAGGTCATGAGATAGGGATGCTGCTGCACTGTAACTGAGCCCTTCATCCTGCCACACTTCCATTCATTCCTGTATTTCTATTAGTTTGGAGTATTTTCATTTTCTTTCACTTCCAAACCAAAAAATGAGAAGGTTTCCTGTGTGATTTGATGTGGGAAACAACCCCACCAATGATCTTCCCAGAGGCATGCAGTCCTCCCTTCCCCCATAGAATGAGAGAGTGGCTTGGCTGAGTGGGACTTTCAGTGGTCTGTCAGCAATCCCAGCTCACTATCTAATTACTTCTTCCCCTCAGGCTTCAGGACGCTTTTTTTTTTGCCAAGCAGACAAACAATTTCTGGTCCAATTTGAGATCCCTTTTGCCGTGTGCTGTTCTCATGGGACCACACCACCCCAACAAACATTTCTGGCTTGACCAAACAGAAATTGCGTCTAGATCTATATAATCACCACTCTGCATTCATTTCCATTATAGAGAGACAATTCCCTATTAAATTTCAAAGTGGTTTATTGGCTCAGAGAGACAGCAAAGAATCAGATCACAAAGGAAAGAGCCGCTATTTGGACAAAGCATTATTTGTCCACATAATGCAACTTGATATTTGTGTCTATAACTCTATACAGACTGGGAGATCAGACTTTGACTTTATATACAACCAAATCCACCTTTGCCGTACATATATATCTGGTAAATGCTGTGAAATATTGTATTGCTGTCACCATGCTGGGTGTGTCTAGATCAATAGGCTTACAGAGAACTTTTTTTCCTGAGTCTTGTAAGTTAATTTTTCTTCCTTTTATCCTCTGGAAGCAAATCAAAGTGACTAGATCTTTCTGCATTGAAGATCTCTCCTTTCTGACATAATATACTATGTATTAGATAAAGGATGCCCAGCCTATAGCTTATGAATCAGCTGTGGCACCCTAGAATGATTTATGCCACCCACAAGCCATTTCTGCTACTATCTTCCTAAGGATCCTTTTGTCTTCTCTAGTGGCATGACTTAAGTACATCTATCTTGGAACCAAAATACAGGAACCGCCATCTCTATCCCACACCCAGTCATGCTATGACGATGTACATACATGTTGGGTTGTGTGACTAAAAACACTCCTGTGATGCAGGGTGTCCACATATCGGGTGCCACAGCAGCAGCAATCACACGTACATGGTAATGGGCTGCAACGCCCGACCTTCTGAGCCTCCTAACCAGGCCACTGACTTAAAGATGCCTCATATTCATAGCCACTGAATAAGTGGGCCGCTGCCTGGCTTCATCTGGTGATAAAAACACCCAGACCTTTGGAGTAGTGAGTCCTGGTGAAGTAAGAGACAGCATTTGAGAAGGGTGGGGCCTGCTACCACTTCAGAGCCAAGCACAAGTGCTGGAGGAGGTTTCAATCTCTCTCCAGGTCTCCACCCTAACTCCAGGGTGCTGAGGTCCAATTTGTTTCACTTTGTGCTGTTGGAGTGATTTGTCTTTGCATCTTGTTGAAGTTCCTGCTGTGCACTGCAGAATCATTTAAGACTTGGCTGCTGCTTTTATAGAGAATTACTCTTTAAGACCTGAATATGACAAAGCACTTAGAGCAAGGGAGTTTTACTTTGATGGGTCTATTCTTATATTTAATGGTAGCCATGGGCTTGACTTGGCTGGATCAGGGGATGGGACATCATGCTGCAGCCTTTGTGAATGTAAATGCTTACAGAAAACCCTGGGGACTGTATACCTGACAGTATCACCACAGTACACATACATTAAACCACCAAAATAGTGCTGGTTTCCTTATAAAGCAGTAGTGCCTTAGACTGTGTATTAGTGTTTACAAGCATTATAGTTCATCAAGCTACTTATTTACCTCAATAATGGAAACTGAGCGTTACTATTCAGTGATTTTAAAAATCTGCTTTGCCTAGACAGTCCACTTAGGGGTCTGAGATCAGCCCTGTTTGGGAGAGACACTGAAGCAAGCTTTTACCAGCTTATATGAGAAAGAGAAAAAGTGGTGATGATGACCTGCATCTAACTGTTAATTCATCCTGGTTCAACTATGGCAAATTCCGTGGAGCCAAACTCCTTCCCTCTTGTTCCGAGCTATAGAGCTCTTGCTTCACTCCATGAAGTTATTGTATACGTTAATGGCAGTTTCGTTCTCTGGCTGCTGTGATTTATGCAGCCTGCACCCATACCCAGCTCCTACAGCTGTGCTGTGGGATACTGATTGTGGGCCAGATGGTGAATGGGACTGGGAATTGATCGAGGTTAAAAGTGACCACTTTTTTTGGCTGGGTTATGCTGAGCTCTGATCCCTTCTCTGGAGCAGTTTCCTTCCCGGCCACACAATTATACCAGCATGACTGAGGAAGGGGCCCAGGGGAGGAAATGAGCGGTGGTGGCAGGATTGTGATGGGGGAGGAGGGTGGTGAAGGCCACTTCAGCTGGTGCTGCTGCCAAAAGAAATGTTCACTGAATGACAGCCTAGTGGCATGTCCGGCCAAATCCCATGGAAATCCTCAGTGTCAGGGACAAAATCCTGCTTTCCAGCCCAATGTGCTCTGACCTGATTTATTCATCTCCCAGTGCTCTTGGCAGCTTTTTGGCACAGCAAAATGCAGTGGTAAGGCATGGAGTAGTGGGTGCTGAAAAGGGAAAAACCTGGTGCTGGATGGTAGATATCCTAAATTGAGGGCCAGCAGCAGCAAAAAGGTGATAGGGAGAACATGGTCTCCTGTCTAACAGGAGTGGAACAAGACCTTTCAGCAGGGGAAGGTCTTTAACTATGGCTGCTCTTTAACAGTCAGAGGTCTGGGTCCTACATTTTGATACAGAAGGAAATGGGGTAAGCGACCTCTCTCTATGAGAAGAAACAGCATGGTAAGGAACCTTGCTTTATATATGTCTCCCTCCTCCAATGCTCCACATTTCCAAACACTAACCCAAGACTGAATTACTGCACTATAAAATGAGTTGAACCTGCCATGACCTGAAGACTGGTTCAGTTTACAGCCAAGTCCATAATCCAAAAAGCATGAAGGATCAGCAACGGGAAGAGAAATAAAAGCGCTGAGCAGAAGGAGTCAGCAGGTAGTCCTTAACAGTCAGCTAATCACAGTGAATAATTTATTACAGCAATGCCACTGAGACTCCACTAGATTTTAAAACAGTATTTCCTGGAAATGTTTTTTGCTCCTCTTGTATCATTTGTAAATTTGAAATCTTTTATCCCTGTCTGCAATGCAAAAATGTTTGCAAAGGACTTAGGAAATGATGCTGATCCAAGAAGTGCCCAATTAGACACAAATCAAATACATTGTCTCTGACCTCACTTGATTCTGGGTGCTCTAGAGAAAGGCCAGTGGTGAATACACCCTGTGGCTCAGTAGTGTGCCAGTGAGAGGAGCGTTACACATGTTCCATACCTCTGACAACAGAAACCAACTTGCTGCCAAATCAAACACCCTCCTTGAACAAGAGGTTTTATAACACCTCCCAAAATCCTGTTCAAAAACAACCAGTTCAATGTTAGAACGCTGAATGGAGGGTCACACTTTTAGTCCTATCTTCAACCCTCCTAAGATCTTGACCTCTATTGTATTATGTGGCAAGGAGTTATGCAAGTGAATCAGGCTCCTTGTAACTGATTTGAATTTCATGTTTCTTTTGCCTTTTTGACTGTCCCAATGCTCTATGATCAATCAGGAAAAAGACCAATTTGTCAGCTTCCTCCTCCCCATCGTTCACTAGTTTCTGTACATTTCACATCAATCCTTACTTTATGTTTTTTTAAGTTACTGGTCTGTCATTCCTTCACCACAGGAAGCACAAGTTTAACCACTCCATCAATGCAATTACTGACTTGACAATGCTTCATTATGCCCTAAAGCAGAGAGGATCTCTATTTGTTCTGCAATAAAGCAGCTCTTAATTAGGCTGTTGCTCCTCCTGTGTAAATATCTCATTTTGCCTCTGGAATTGGGAAAGTTCACTCTATCTCTTGCTGTTTGGAAAAGGCCAAGTGACATCCCATAGCAATCTTTCACTTCCTGGACACATTTAATGTGCTGATTACTTTGCTCATGCTGTTGACAAGCAGGTGATTTTTCTCTGATCGGACACTTTAAGCTACTGATTTTACTTTGTGCTCTGTATTGCTTGGTAGGATGGGTCCAACTCAGCTCTTATTTTTGCATGTTTAAATGGGAAGTCAGTCCATTACCATTGCTTTGGATTCACAACAAAACTACAAATTAAATTCTTCTGTAATGAGAATCCATAGAGCGTTGTGGAGACCTTATGGCAAGGGACAGAGTATTTTCATAGCATGCTTCATTTAATCTCAGAGAAAGGATAACACTAGGAAGAAATGGCAGAAACTGATGCTTGGCTGTCATAGGGAAAATCTTTGTCAAGCTATATTCACAGCTGAATTCTGGGATGTCTCACATTTTATCTTGTTTCCAAAAGTCTTTATTCCCCTTCTCAAACCAGAGAATGCAAACACTAATAACGAGTCTGAGGAAAAAAAGCTCATCTTAAGTTTCATTGCCACTAGCCTTCTGCGGAAGAAAGGGGGATAACACTATATAGTGGTATTTCTTGCAAAGGAACCAAATGCTACCAGACTGTCCTTTAAGGTCATTTTATTTTTGGTGACAAGTTAAACAATTTCTCTGTTTATTGGCCATGTGGAAGTCCTTTGGCTGACTTTGTTAATCATTCACTCTTCAGCTTGGAGTTAATTGTTTACTGTTAAGCTGTGTGCACTGAAAGATGCCTTTGGGCTCTTAAATCAGTGGGAATATCTGGACAACAGAGACATGCCTAGTGCCACTACAACTGCTTGAGCAAGCCAGTCTCACAGCTCCAGGCTATGCTGCTTCTACTTCATGTTCAGGTCTTTTGGGATGGAGTGGAGTTACATCCCTACCTGCTGGTTAAAATGAACAAACACCATTCACAGACAAAATAGGCACAGAGGGGGGCTGCAGTGCCTTGCTCTTTCTTGCCAATTGCTCTGCAATGCAAGCAAAACAAAACCCATAATGACCTTTCTCTGAAAACAACGATTTTGGTCAATACAGTCTTAGCAGCTTGTGGGAGAGTGGTGCTGGCACATCCTATCTGAAGACCCAACTCTGAAGAATTTGCTTTGGTTTGTGATGAATATTGGATGGTGCTGACCCAAGATGGGTAGAGCACAGCAGGACAGTGACTTCCTTCTTGATGTGCTTTTTCAAGGCACACTGAGCCTTGAAGGGCCTTTTCTTTCCACAAGGAAGAGTTTGTAGAAGCTAAGTCTTAACTAACGTAGAGGGAGGTGGGATTCTGCTCAGCCTGGATGCTGTGCGCTGCTGCTACAAATACTATACTGGTTCTGTAAACCACTACTAAACTTTCAGAACACCTCAGCATATGGTTAGCAGGACAGCAGCCACCTTTCCACACTTGATACTCCCTTCTTCTTGTTCAGCTGCAGTGATGGATTTTGTGAAGTACTCTGAAAGTTTTGCATTTATGTAATACCTAAGAAAGAACAGCTATCAGATCATAACTGATATGGACAAAATCTGGGTTCAAACAGGCCACATTCAAGAGGAAGCCTTTGACAGGGCTTGCTGAGTCTGTGTGCTAGCCCCTGAACATACAGGAGAAAAACTGAAAGGAGAATGATAAGCCTCAAAGTGATGGCTTTGGGTAGCTTCAGGGCTTCCGCAGAATTCAAGCACAGGCAGGAGGGAACATAAAAGTAGAAGCACAGTCACATTACGCTCTGCAGCCCAGCGCAAGCTGCATTCCAGTTTAATAGCCCTGCATTCCCGTCTGAACCACCTCCACTAGGTGCCAGATACCCATCTCAGCTGCATCCCCAGTAATGCTGGAGGACTTATGCCTGAGTGAGAATAGTGCAAGCAAGATCAAGTTCTGGCTCTGTGTCAACCTCAATTCTCCTCTCCAGACTCATCCAACTTGCTGACAAACCTAGTTAGTTTTCTACAGACACATGGCTGATTTACTCCAGCAATTTAATAAAAACGTGGTTTTGACTGACTGCTAATGGGATCGCCCAAGATAGGCTCAGCTGCTTAGTGTGGGTTACAGTTTTACTTGCAAACACAATAAGCATGGAAATCTATCTAGGATGACATAATAGGAAAACATTACAATCTCCGTTATAAGACAAGCAAGGGTTTTATATGCATTTAATATAAATGTCTTCGTTTCAGCTGGTTTCTTGCTACAATTTTCTGCTTGTGTTTCTTCCAGGGAGATTTATTTTTCCATTGTAATTTTCCAATTTGTTTCTGGCATTGGCAATGTGCAGGAACAAAATAATAAAGATCAGAAAAGACATAATCTTTCCCCCCCTCCCCCTCTAATTTTATGTTGCAGAAAATTCAGTAAGGCTTACCCCTCCCTTCTGCACAGCAAAGACTTGAACCAGCCCATGCTGGTATAGTGAAATGAATCAGATACTATGGTAAGCTCCCAGATACCAGGGTTATCAAGTGCAATTTTACAATCTAATTAGCAGAGAATTAAACGTTGCACCTTGTAGAGGGAGTTGAGCTGCTCTCGCCAGAGGGGTTTTACCACCTGTGTAGGGTAAGAACTCTTTTTACTTTCTCTGCTGAGGGTAGAAGCATACGATGGAGAAATAATGAAGCCTCAGCCACTCTATCCAAGTCCTGTCCCTGATTTAGGCTGTGTATTTTGGAATAGCCCTGCCAACAGATGGGGTTTGCAAGCATCACGTAACAGAGAAATGCTCATCTAGGCTGTCTTTTCACTGCTGTGGTCTCTGGATGATGGCAGTGGACAAATTCTAGCCTGGAAATTCCTGCTCTCCCTTCCCACCCAACCTTCCCTCCCAGATTTATGACCACTTCTGCTAAAACACAGAAGTTTTCAGTGGTTTATACATAAGGTGGCACCATTGTTTTGGGTCTCCTGGATTTTGTACATAATTTGCTGAGACAAAAAAATAGCGATTCCCAATAAAAAGAAAACTGGCACCCTATTTTTTAGGGTTACACTTGCAGAAAAAGGGTAGGATATGCCTACAGTCCCTGATTCTAGGGGCAATGTGGAGAGCTAGAGGTAGGTTAGTGGGGACACAAGAGGCTGGCCAAGATGTTATCAAGCTCTAAAACAAATGCTATGGACTGGATCACCCTGAGCGGATGAGAAGAGAAAGTAGAGAAGCTAAGAAAGGAGACTTGACTCTTCTAGTGGAAATGGCTGTCTCTTCTCACACAGTCAGACTACCTGACCTCTTTTTTTCTTTCTTCTGATGCTCTCCACCAAGACTGTCATTCCATCAGGGCTGATAAAAATTGCTATAGCTTGTGAACGGCTGAGTCCTTGTGATGGCAGGACACTGTTTTCCTCTAAAGAAATGTTTCTGTCACTAAGACTGACATCTGAAGGCATGTTTTAAGGACACATCTTCCCTGGAGGGCTGGCACAAATGGAGGTATGTGGGTGCAAACACTTAGCCTAGACATGTTTTAAACTATCATGTGTGAGCATGGTTTGCCCTGCAGGTAATGATTGATCCTGAACAGATAGGTCTTTTAGAGCACAGATGCTCTGTAGAGACTCCCTTACTTCCCTCATCCTTTTCTTCAATTAATAAAAAGCCTCATTAATAGTCTTCAGTGAATAAAAGGCTAATCAATGCATATATTATCTCCTGCTGCCTCCTTAGCAGTTCTGTTTTCTACCAAAACCTTAATTCTGGTTTATTTTAATAGAAAATGCTATCTGTGAGCAGCAGACAATGTCGAACTTGAATGTGATCAGACGAAGTGAACGAAAGGGAAGGAGGACATTTGTACAGACAAATGAGAAATGCAGTACATATTAATTCAGCTTGGAAGCATTTGCATCCATAGAAGAGTTGCGTAGTTGCTCCAAATCATCCAGTTCTGCAGCCTGCAAGCCAGCCTGAAACCTTGCCTCCTGATGTCTCCATGGGTTTGCAGTACAACAAATATTGTTGCTAACAGACTGTGCATGCCCACCTGCAGGGCATGTGCTCAGAGATGAGCTTTTTTGTATTACATGGTATCCTAGGTAGGAAAATCAGAACACATGGGTCCACCTAGTAGGATTAGCTCAGGGGATCAGAACCTTTCTCCTCCCAAATGAACAGGACATTCCCTAGCTGGATTTCTCAAAGGCAATTTGGAAGGACTGAGACAAACCCTGATTTTCAGATACACTGAAAGCCTCACTAAAAACAGTAATAAAGAGACCAGAATGGCTAGTCATCACTGCCCAAGCTCTACTTTTGTGATCAGATCTATGCCTGCCATACCTTGATTTGTGGACTGTTTCAAAGTAAAGTTCAGGTCGAGGGAGGTCATGCTCCCCCTCTACTCTGCCCTGGTGAGGCCGCATCTGGAGTACTGCATCCAGTTCTGGGTTCCCCAGTTCAAGAAGGACAGGGAACTGCTGGAGAGGGTCCAGCAAAGGGCTACAAAGATGATTAGGGGATTGGAACATCTCTCATATGAGGAAAGGCTTAGGGACTTGGGTCTCTTTAGTCTGGAGAAAAGAAGATTGAAGGGGGATCTTATTAATACTTACAAATACTTAAAGGGAGGATGCCAGGGGGATGGGAGCAGTCTTTTTTCAGTGGTGCCCAGTGATAGGACGAGGGATAATGGGCATAAACTTGAACATAGGAAGTTCCATCTTAACATGAGAAGGAACTTCTTTACTTTGTTTTTTTTTTTTTTTTTTCATTTTAGGCATGTGATGAGTCTTCTTGTTAGCTTGACATTAACTCTTCAGTTAGTAAAATTGTTGCTTATCAAATGTAATGCTGTGCCTGGGAAAATCATGCAATTTTTTGTTTTTGTAATAAATGGTAGAGGCTTTCCTGGCCCTTCTTCCCTTTCTCTCTTGGATCATGTATGGCTTGAGAAGTCACTATCAAGGGTTGGCTGAGCACCCTCAATCCTGCCATAGCCAGTGGGGATGGAAAGTCTCCAGCACCTGAGAGGATCAGTCTTTCAGTTCCCATTTATGTCTTATGAACCCCACAAAAAAGAAGCGTAAGTTGCAAGATTAAGTGATGCTTATTTCCCCCCAGTAGCACAACATTTAATAAATGAACAGCTACTTTTGTCCATTAATTCTTTGCAGACATTCATACAAGTTTGGGAGAAACAACAGCCTTCAAAATCACATGATTCAATGCCAGCATTTGGTATACATCACACCCTCAAACCAAGTTATAACATGTGTGGCAAGCCCAAACCTTAATAGAAAAGTAAACACTTACCTTTCTTGGTTTCACTTTGTCATGGTAGTCATACTGAAAAATCCCCTTGTAGCTAAGCCCTAACCACCAAGGAATTCCCTGCTTGTCCTGGAAGACAAAAGACAGGGAGTTATATTGAATAGGATGGGGAAATGCTGGAGATTTCCTAGGTTGTTATTTAAGGTGAAGATTTGTTTCTAAGCAGTATCTTTGACTGTCATGGGTGTTGTTAAATTTACCTCTGCTGAATTTCCTCAAGTCACAAAGTTACATGGTGTTTAGGAAAGATCTGTTTCACTTTTAGCTATGACATATAAACCCATCTAAAATGCATCACCTGTGGTCAAGTTACTCAAAATGCTGCCAGGGAAGGTGGGGAGGTTTGACATGGGCCCCTTGAGCAGTGGTGCATCCTCTTTCTCTTCCCTGCAAATTATTCGGTCTGAACACTCAGAGATTGGAGACGACGGAAAGCGAATCACCCAGCTGACTTGAATTATCTGGAGGGATTTTAGCATTAATCTTGAAAATGCAGCAGTAATGGGATCTGAGAGCTACCAAGTGATAAGGTCTGACAGGCTTGGACCCAACTGCTTTGTGTCTGAGTGTGCAATAAAATGGCCTTATGGAGTAATGGCTGATATCTGATACCAGCCTCTTTGCAATTTACTGAACTGGAGTCCTCAATGAAATTACATCTGTTCTGTTAACGTGATAGGGAACGGCAGGGTAAAATGCAGCAAAACCAAAACCCCCACATCAGGCAGAAGCAAAACCTATTATGTGCAATATTTGCTGCCTCATTGCTGCTCACTGGTATTTACTGATCATGGGGAGTTCACTGGAATAGCTCTCAAGTGTTTGTAGGCTTGAACAATCAGCCCAGTCCACCAGTTCTTTTTTGGTGTAGAGTGGTCCAAGAGATCTGGTGCTGGAGGGATCCCGCCCTCTGGCAAAAGGTGGGGCTAATGCTTTTCACAAAATGCCAGGCACATTAGCTGGAGTAGACTACAAACGCATCTCCCTGAGACAGGTACTGTCAGATATTTGTGGTTTTGTGGTACCCTACGTGTGCAAGGTATTACAGATGTATGAAACCCCCATATGATCTATGCAGAGAGATAATGATGAAACACATCAAAACTTCAGGGTTGATAAATGAGGGAATATGCTCTGGGGAGTGTGGATTTAGCTTTCTTTATATGTTTATTGATTTCTCTACTTAAAAAAAATAACAAGCCTACACAGCTGGTCAGGCAGGGAAGTAATAATAATAATATGAAACTGGAAGATTTGGTGATAAATCATTAGACAAAAGAAATGAGGGATTTCATGAATACCTGAATGAAATCCACATAGTTAATAAATGGAGAGCTGTTTGGGGAGGGGTGTGTATTATGTCTAGAGTATGGGACAATGATTTGGCATTAAAAAAATGTACTATATCTGTATCCATCTACCTACATCTCAAGTGAAGGGATCTGCAGTATGCAGGTCATAGCTGGCCCTAGTTAGTTGCTCATGGATCTGCTGGCTGGGAAAAGTATGACCTCCTGGAACTACAAAAAGGAGCAAAGCATTGAGTCTGCCAGCAATGTGGCTGGCTTGTCCCTTTGGTGCTGGTTCACTGCCATCACCAGAGCTTGCCGCTGCTTGTGGGCTGAACATCTCCAGCACAATAGGACTTTAAGAGTTTTATCTCCAAGAACAGGATTTTCCTCTGTGGAGCTGTATTTACCAAACATTCACTACACAGTTGAAATAAGTTTATCCTACCACAGGAAGTGAAACGAGACTTTAGTAGCAGTGTATTGTGTTCTGAAAGCAGGATGGTTATTTGTACCTCTCTCCCTCCCTCTTCAACAACAGTTTAATTCAATAAATGACCTTTTTTTTGTAGCACGTACCTTTACTGCATAATAATGCACTCCATATGTTGGGAGGGATTCTACAATGCTCATGTAACTGCAAAACAACACATAAGAGAATAACACGTCTGAGAAGCTGAGAGGATGATCTGGGAAAAATGCTTAAATAAATAAATAAGTAAGTACAGAAATACTTAAAAATAAAGCATTAGATGAGATTGGAGACATAGTTATATATTCTATTTACGGTCCAGTATAAATATTTCCCGATAAAACAAAGGTCAAAAGAAGTCACTCTTATTTCACTTACTTCACAATTGCTTGACCTCTTGTCTGCCCATTTAGTTTCTTGTAATGTTCTATTACTCGATCCTCACTGGAAAGGAAGAAGTGAGATGTTTTACATATTGGCAGTGTCATGACAGAATCTTGCCAAAAGGTGAAGAGATACTTCTGTTAACACAGCTACTGACTGAGGGAATCAAAAGATGCCAAGCAAAAGTGTTAGATGAGAGGATTTGATGCAGCTCAGGGTAAACAAGGGGGGCTCACAGACTGAGAATAAAAATGGTTTTCTAGGAGTTGGCTTTCTGGAAGAACCTTTTTTACTCACAAACATGGTATCTACATGTACAGATGTCTCCCTCTCTTCATTACTTTCCTTATCTACAAATGATGCTCATGGTATTACAATGTGTGGCATACAGATGTGTGTTGGAGCTGCTGCTTTGCTGTAGCTAGTGCAACTTCTTTCCAAGCCCACCAAGTTCTCTAAAAGCTAGCCAAGCTTTCAGAAATTGGTGGCAAGTAATAGCACTAAGTTTTATTGCACCTGCACAATTCCACATACAGGAGCACTAGTGGAAGCATTCTGGAGAAATCACTCTCAGCAAGGAGTTAAATTCCTAGTGTACACAGAGGCAATGTCTATAACAGCAGGTTAAACAGTGGCAGGGAATGTTTCCAAGGCACTCAAACTTGGGTCCCTTTACTGTTAAAGTACCTGTGCCTTGGCATACTTTTGGGTTATACTAACTTGCACGCCCCAGCAACTCCTGGCTATGCACTGGGTGTTGGCATGGGCCAGGGCCCATTCCCAACACTGCTTTGGAGAACTAAGACAGTTTCATGGTATAGATGGATGCTGTTCCACACCAGTGGACCTCTGTGTCAGAGAACAGTTCTGGGCATATTTGATAAATGCATGTTGAGACATTCCTATATATGGTAAAGATGTAGCATCCAAAAGCAGGTCAGCATGACCCAAATGACAGACTGAGAGACATCTGTAAGTTCACTTTTAAAGAATCTCATTCCTTCTTCTCTAGTGAATGGGTAGCAGGAGAGCATAGAACCAGAGCTATTTGATGCATGCAATCAGCTGTGCTAGCAAGGTTGCAGCATGGCAAACTATAAGCCAATGATCGCCTTTTCAAGGTTCACAGCGCTCTCCTTTGATTTCAATAGTGTTCCTTTCAGTCTACAGCCATGCAAGTCATCACAGCTTCCAAGCCTAGTACTTTCAGACTGGTCTGCTTTTGGTTCTTTAACTTCCAGCAATGTAATGTCCACAGGACCAGCTCTGTTACATTGGCATGACAGAATACTCAAAATCCTCAAGTTTAAACCCAATCTCTTGCTCTTTATGTCGCAACACCAAGGATAAGGAATCTGTTGAGTCCCTTCAAGATACTGTACAGACCTTGCCAGTCCCAGAGGAACGCAATCTAAACTACCTTGATGCCACATTTGTGCCCTACCCACCTGGCACTCCATAGGCTTCAGGTAGTACCAAGTGTCTATCTAGTGCCATCATGCTGCACGTGGTTTAGGCCAATGTGAACTGGCATTCCGCCCTCCCTGCATTTCCTAGGTCCAGTTGGGGTCCCTAATGGGGCCTTTAAAGGCAGCCACACAGTTGTCCACCAGGCGATAATCCTTGCCCAGGCAGAACTGAAGCTATTTTTATTGCTAGACAGTGTGAAGGAGCACAGCAGTGTGGGATGGTCTGGTAGATGACTTCACTGCAATTGCTCAGAGATGCGCACAGGGTCTTTGGTGGAAAACTGCAAACCGTTTCACTAGCCCTGCTAACGCGATGGTGTCTTCTCATTGCTGCCTTCCCCATATACATCCTTGTGCCAGAAACATCTGTGTGGAGCCAGAATCTCTTTTAGAAGGAAGTTTCCCTGCCCCTGCTGGGCACAGCCATCACAATGCCTTCAGTGATGTCACAGGTGGAGGCCACACACGCCTGCTGTGACATCACACACAGGGTGTTCTGCTCTGTGACATCACAAGGAGGAAAAAATGCACTATGACATGCCAAACAAGGCATGCTGTGCACAGATGGGGCATGGGGCCTGGCACAGGGTAGTTGAAGACAGTGCATCCATCTCTGGTAATGCAGGGAGGAAGGGGCAGGACCAGAAACACCAGTGAAGACAGCACAGAGCAATTTAAAGTAGATGGTCTGTCGGACTGTGAGCAGGGCCAGCTCACAAGCCTGCAATTTGTCTACAAGTAACTGCTCTCCTTACTCACTCACCATGTGACTTCCTCTGAAAGTCACTTGCAAATAAAAAAAGGCTTTTACTGGGGCAAGGTGAAATGATGTCCCGCCAGCACGCCACAATGGGTACAGGGTGCTGACTGAGTCAGTGACAAATTACATGGGTAAAGGAATGGTCCAGCTCTCCCATCAAATCCCTCAGAATATTTTTAATGCTTAGAAAATGATCTGTAAGCTATAAATTCAACAACTATGAAACCATATTCAGCCCACTGATCCAAGCAAGTACCACAGATGTTATAAGTGTGCATGAAGGCAGGGCCTGGGTCTCCTGCCATGATTATCATAAACAGGATTACTTTTGGAGCAATAACTGAATTACATGAGTGTTCAGTACTGGAAGATTTCCAAAAAACATCATTCTTAATAAAAAAGATAGACAGAGAGGGCTTACAGTCCTTTGAAATTACTTTTTAAAACCACGATTACATATGGATGCAATTCCTCTCTGTCTCAGACAGGAACAAACCTGGAGTGACTTCTCAAAAAACAAAGGAGTTTCTCCAGTGGAAAACGGTCTTAGCTTTCCACTGTGTGCAGTTTATTGTACACATCAAGTTCCTTATTGATGCCATTCAAGGAAAGGATAGATGTAACTATATGGTGATTACCTAATGTGATTCTGGATGCGCTCTGCTTTCTTACAAATGATTATTATAAAATAATGGATATGTTCCCAGACCATACCTCTCGGGTAGGGAAGCCAATCAATGGCCCATTTCCTTCAAAAGGACAGATTAGATGTCAGGGAGCCTTTCTGAACAGTGGGATGAATAAAGTTATGTTCTCAACCCATACTAAAAGATGTGGGATAGTCCAGGCTCTACCCAGTTCTCCTAAACAAATACAGGCAACACTGTCTATACCTTCATTGCCTCATTAGGATACTGATGATCTTCCTTTCCATTGTATAATGTTTTGAGGTCTACAGATATTAAGTATCAGATAAGTATTATCCTTGTTTCTACTTTTGGACAAAAAAGATAAAGCCTGAATTATCAATCGAGCCATGAATACTGAAGAGTGGGATTTGCTGCCTTTCACCTTTCTACAACACTAAGCTAGTCACACTTTGGGGAAAGAAACAAATACTCCAGAACACAATTCATCCTGACAGCAAAGGGAGCTGAGGGCACCTAGCTCAGATGGAGAGGTCTACACTGAAGAAATGTTCATGGTCAGATGAATCCCACCCCAGCTGCATGACAGTCACTCCTCTAACAGTTCTTTGAACTTCCTTTTCATTCCCTGTGCAGAAAGGTTCATCCAGAACAGAGGTCACTTTCTGCCTCCAGCTCTGGGATAGAGGGGTAAGCCTAGCATGTGCCAGGGAAAACAAGCAAAATCATTTACGGGTCAGAAGGAGCATTAGCAGAGCTTATAAACATTCTCCCCTATCATTTCAGCTGTTCATCTCTGAGCGGCTGCCATGCTGCTATTGACAGCTGGGAGAGTGCTGGGACGCTGCCTGGGCCACCAGCTGACGTCTCTTCTCCCCCTGTTCTGGCCTGTTGCTGTTGTAACACAGAAACTCATTCATAACACAGGGCTGACAGAGGATGCTTAACTAATGTGGCGACACGGAGGCTGCCGAAGCACTACCGTCTGTTTGACAGCTCATAAAACATTTCCCCCAAAGCTGCAAAAATTAGTACATGGATGCTATTCTGCAGCAGACAACTCTGATAAAGATCTACCAAGAAATCCCTCCTGTCCCAGCAGCTTACAGAACTGGATGGCAGACAACTTGCAAGCAAATGCAGGGCCAGAGTTTCTCATCATCAGATCCAGATTTTCAAAGGTAATCGTTCTCCCGTCTCTTCCCAGCACACTGAGCTGTTTAAAATAGCTCTCTGCTCATTGCTGTACCTTACTGTTGTTCTGTTTCTAGCTTTTGTCCATCTTGATTATATTCTCAAAATTACTAGCATTGTTATTTGCAGTCATATGCTGTCCTACTGAAGCCAGCAGAGCATCTCTTGGGCCAAAGGGACCAAGAGCAGGATCAGAGCCTCAGGTCTGTGTGGTATTAGAGAAACTAAACAGTGATTTTTAGCTGATGTTTTCAGAGTTGGATTTCCTGGCAATGCTGATGCTTTAGGTTGCTGAAAATAGGCTTGCATTCAAAGTCTGTTGGAACCTGGGAGAAGTCTGTCTTCCCCCTGATCTGTTGAAAATCTCATTCTAACATTCATTTTGTGTCATTGCATCTCCTCCTTGCAACCTAGTACTGGGCTGGCTTGTTGGGCAGGATCTGAATAGAGATAAAATGAAATGACAATGGCTGGAAAGGAGTGCTGTGAACTAAGACAGGTGCTCTCCTGTTTCATTGTGATTAGTGTTAGTTCTAAAATAATAAATACTGTCAGTTGTTTCCATGCATGGGCAAGACAAATCAAAACTCAGGGCCCCAGTTCCTAGACTGCCTGGGAGGACCAGAAGCTCAGGCTTTCATTTAAAAGACAAAAAAACCTCCAAACTCCTTGTTGCTTCACCAATAATCAGTGATGCTAAAAGATGCTTAAGAACCAGATGTGAAACTGATTCTTCTTAATCTGTACAGAGCTGGAATCTTGATGATATAAAACCTACAACCTTCATCTTTGTTGTGATGTCTACAAACTTGCAAGAAGAGGTTACAGTCCGGGGAACGGCCTGCAGCAAGGGTATGCAACCAGGAGACTCCATGAAGGTGGAGCTGGAGGCACCAAACTTTGCTGATTCAGCCCTCACTGCATCTAAGAATCCAGGACTCATCCCACTGGTCTTACTACATTTGGTAGGAGCAACAGGTGATGCTTTTTCATGAGGTGTGATGGAAATGTTATATTATTTTATACAGATCTATCATAGTATCTTAACGAAGGTATCATAGTATTTACTTTATCATCCATTTTATTGCCTCTTAGTCCATTTCAAGCTATACAAAGGTTCTTTTGTTTGTTTTTAACTATCTACAGCAATTATCCATCCCACCCTTAATGCTTTAAATATTTCTTTCTGGAGCTGGGAATTCACATTACTGCTTTGGGCTAATGCTGAAGAACTGCAGTATAAAACTGATTGCACACAGAAAAGAACAGGATGAAATTTGTATCCAATATGTAATCTGCAGGACATGCAGAAGTGTCAGAAAACACAGTTTTAGAAATCTACCCTCTTTGACCTGTATTTCAGAGGCTTTTTTTCTGATTCACCTCTTCCTGAGAGCATTCAGCGTTTCAGAGGGTGTTTATGAAAAAGCCACCATTAAAAAACTAATGAACTACTCATGTATAAGAGGTCTCTGAGACCTGGTTACTGAGGTCAAATCACAAGGGAGTCTCAGGACTGTAGCCACTGGTTTTATTACCTCATTGGAAACCACCAGCTTCCCAACCTGAAACCTGTTCTCAGTCACGTGAGAACTCCCACAAAATTAAGAACAGCTGCAAGTAGTGCTGTACCTTGTGTATAACTGTAAATACTTGCATTCTGAGCATGAGGTTTTCACATGGCTCTTCTTGCTTCAGGTGACTGAACATAGCCCAAACCCAAGGAGAGTGTCTTGGGCAGAGGCAGTCCCAGACCTCACTGTTTTCCCAGCAGAAGTCCTTAGCATAGACACGTTGACTAACACTTGATGACAGTGGGGGCAGACAGATCCTTATGGGCAGACGGGCCCTGACAGGCAGCCTGGGTTGTCACTGCTTTGCTGTGTATGGATACCATGACAGGCAACTGAAGCAAAGGTGATGTGGGCCCTCAGTCCATGTTGCTGCTTGAAGAGTCAGATTTGCCTTCCCTGTCCGTGGTTACACTCCTCTTATGGTGGCTTTTAGCTTGAGCTACAAGTTTGTCAGTCAGACCAGGCCACTGACCTGGCTTGAAAAGCACTTTTTTTAAAAATGTGTGGATTAATTTGTGCAAAAAGGAAGGAGACACTCCAAACAGGGAGACTATTCTGCTTCCAGTGAAACGGCAGCCTACATTTATCAAATTTTCATAAAAATTTGGGTTGATTTTTAGACAAAAACACTGTGAGCCTGTGATGATCCACAGCTTTTGTGTAAGTGTTCCTAACCTCAGGCTGGGACTCTGAGTCACTCCTGATGTGCTCAGAAAGTGATTGTAAGACCTCACAGACTAGCTTGCCTATGGCTGGACACGAGGTACAGCTAATTCTGGTATTGTAACCATGCTAGCAAAAGTGGATGGCCTTTCTGGCAAAAGGAAGAATTGAGATCGTAAACTACAAACTGATTTGTTTCCCCGTGCCATCCTCAGATTACCAAGATGCTGAAATTAAAAGAGGAGCAGATAAAGAAGTTCACTCCCACCCCCAGGCTTATAGCCTAATGCTTTAAAGCCAAACATGAAAGAGGAACAAACAGAAAATCAAGTGAAAGCATCTCCCCATTAATGAACAATCTTTCCCCAAATTCTTTCCTATTTGCACAGATAAAAGGGATAGGCAGGGTGGCACAAAGAATCTATGTGTGGGGCATACGAAATTTAATTGTGATCCTGGTCCTACCCTGGATTTAATTTTCAGTGCAATAAAGACAGAGTTCACAAGCTTCCACCTCCAAACATCACCTAGTTTGTATAAAAGGAGAAATACATCCCTTTTAGTTCAGCTATGCCATACAGAGAAGACTTGTAAGACGAAGCTCAATCATTCAAAAATAACACAAAGCAGTGCAAAACATTGACATTTCAAACTAGGATAGCTCTTTGCACACATGCAAAGTGCTGGGAAAGGAAATGGCACATTAGGCCTCTTGATTCCATCAGGACACTTGTACCTTTTCAGAGAATGTTCTGGCCAGCTATTACTGCAGCCATGTGGCAGACAGGGAAACTGAGGCCCAGGGTGGTAGCTCTACTTGTGTTGAATCATGCAATATGTCAGTGGCAGACCCAGAGCTAAAAGGCAGGAACCCCTGCATCCCAGTTCCACTCTCAGATCATTTATTGCCACAGCCAGGTCCTGCACAAGACACTGCAAAGCTTCTCAGCAGAATGATACGTTACCAGTAAGCGAGGGAAGGATGCTCCTTCAGCGCCGGTGTTGGAAGGGCTGGCAGCTTCTTTAATTCATTCCTTACAACTTCATTGCTGAAAGAGAGTTCAAAAGGAGGATCAGGCTACAAGAAAACAACCACAATATTTGATATGACCTGACCTAGCTGGCAGGCTGCTATGGCTCTACATCTGTTCCTCTTTAACAAAAGGCACTGGGGTTTCCTTTTTCTTCTCTCTTTATTTGTTTTATGGCAGCCCAGTTAACTTTTCCCTCTATTATCAAAATTGGAGAGAAGCTCTCCCAGATGGTTATGTTGAAGCATTTCCTACCAATGACTGGACACAAAAGCCACCATGTCACATTTCATCGAGCAGGGTCCCACGGACATGTTCAGAGAAAAAAACAAGGGGAAGAGAAGAAAAAGTGATGCTTTCAGCTGCAATAAAGAATCTTTATTTAATGCCTTACAACCTGCTGCAAAAAGTAATGATTTGTTTTCTTAGCATCACAGGTTGTTTTTAGCCTCTTGCTCCAGTGACCTGGCCTTTGCACATCTTCACTGATAAGACTCCAGCTTGAATTTATGTCCTGCTACACAAAACCCTCTGTGGGACCAGGCCCAACCACTTGGCTACCATTCTCCTCCCTGCAATCTCTAGTGGCCTCACTGGCCAGCTGGTGCAGCATCACTGCACACCACAGAGCGGGGAGAGCTCATGAAACGGGAGACAGATTCTTGCAGATGAAATGATACTATAGGATTTTCTCCTACAAACCCAAAATGCCTCCCTTCCCACTTTTAAACACACAAGGAATTGTGTGCACATGAAAAAAAATCCCTCAAAGGCTTGGGAAGACAGTGTTACTGTTACTTTTAAAATCATAGAAACACACAGCCAAGAGGGCCAGACAGGACCAAAGAATTAATGTTTACTGGCTTACTTCTTAATAGCAGGGTTGTTTTTTTTTTCCTTCTTGTACCTTGCCCTTTATCCTGCCAAAACTTGTGGTTGTCCTGGAGCTGTGGAGAGAGATACTTCTTCCAGAGCTCCAGATTTCCCAGCTCACTGGCTTCTCCTGTAGGGCAGCAGGGCCATTAACCAGGCAGACAGGTAGTCTTGGCATCCCCAGCTGTAGACCACCCATTTTAACATCTGCTAAAGGCCCAAGGAACAATTGGACATGCCAGGTCACCCTGAGTTTTGTTCTTGTCTCTGGGACAGTCTGGTGGCTTGTAGAGACATGATACTGCTTCAATTATTGTAAACATCTTCCCACAGCATTTCTGCATTTTCACATCCCAGCAGCAGGTTCTGCCTCAGACCTAGGTGGGTTTGTCTTAATTGGAGTTTGCAGGTTAATTGCTAGGTTGGGCCATAGGGTAAACCACTAACATAAATCCTGGAGCAGGCATTTTGGGTATGTCTACGTGCATTTATTATCATGGTAGTTCCCTGACAATCAATTATGTAGTTTTAGAACAGGACCACACCTTTAGTGAAGACAAATATGTAAGAGAGATGCCCAAGTCTCAATTAGGTTCAAATTTTGCAGACTGAAGATGTGTAGAACAGCACTTACAAGAAATGACTAAGGCAACTGCTTCCATGCTAAGCACATAGAAACCCACTCAGTAGTACCTCATATGCCAAGTCAAATGACTCTTGAGAAACCGTGTTTGAACACCCACTCCCACCTAAATCTCATGGACATTGACCACCAGATAGTCCCTCCTTTGTGAGAGCAAATGCTCAAAACCAATTCAGATGTTTCCTTCCATAGCAGCTAAATATCTGCACAAGTCTGAACAAGAAGCTGCTCTGTTCCATATTATCTGCTGATCTGGCTGCTCTGCTCTGTGACTGACAGCCTAGAAAACAAGATATTGCTGTTTACAGAGTTTACTGGGTCTGCCCAGAGACATCTTGTCCACAGCATGTGCATACTCAGCTCTTACTGAGTTTTTTGACATTTTGAATGAAACTGTGGAAAAAAAATAGAACACAGTACAATGAGAGCACAAGCAGCAGTCACTGCCCTCAAGTGAAGATTTTCTGAGGCTGGCTGCTCATAGAAGGAAGTTGAGAAATTTTCAAAACTCTTCTGGGAAGACAGGGAGTAATTTCCAAACAGGGACTTTTTGAGCGCAGAAAACTGTCAAACAGGGCAAGATTAGTGGTCACTAACCATCTTTGAGTCTGGGAAAAAGCCTGAAGCAGTAATGGCTCCCATAAAAGAAAGGGCTAACACCAGTCAGCTCCATCTTTTCTGTCAGTGAGCAGCAAAGTTTGCTTGCACTGTGATAAAAAGTCTTAAGAATCAGAGAAAAAGACATTCTTAGTGATGTTGTTGGATGGGATTAGCATTTCTGCTCAGTACCTAGAAAACAGTGTAAAGTTAGCGCCTCACAACTTCAAAGCGCCAAATGTATTTCAGGTAAGCACTTCCAGGAACAAAAAGGTATTTCATTCCATGATCCATATATTCACTAAGTCTTCTGGCAAGACTCATCTCAACACAAATGAATTTAGACTCCCAAAAGGATGTCAAATCAAGAAAAAGGAAAAAAATAATGACTCAGGTTGCATTTGAGCTAGTGGCCATGAGGTCACTTTCCTCTTGGCTCCTTTTAGAACAGCAAACCCCTTAATTTGTAAAATGTTTCCAGCAGGATCACAAATGGTTTTGTACTTACTGCCTTTCCCACTTTTTCTACTGAAGTATCTCAGTGTGTTTATTTTATTACTGTATTTAGAAAGTGTTTAATCCAGTGACTTGTGCTGCATTTATTTTATATTTGAAAGTGTCCAACCTGCAGGATTGTTATATGTAGAAGGGTGCTTTTGATATAGATTTATTAATATACAGGGGAAACACTCCAAATACACTTTCTCTGTGTCCTCCAGACCACTTTATTCCTGCAGCATGGTGGAAATTATAATATTTAAGAGACTGAATAACAATATGAAAACTGAACTGGAAAAGCCATCTGCATGGGATACTGAAAGCTGTTTAGATATCCAGAAATAAGGTGAACTGACTGGAGAATGGACCATGACTGGACCAATGACTGGAGACAGGAATTCCTGAGTTTTGGTCTTAGTTCTGGTACTGCCTGTTTAACGAGTCTTGGCCAAATAAATTAGTCACCATATCTCAGTATTTCTACCTGCACATGGGGGTAAAAGTCCTACCTAGTAACTTTATAAACATTTTGTAAAAAACAAGGTTTTGGAAACTGGCTGCAATAATTTTGAACAGGATTACATATGCAGTTGTCTCAGGAAATCCATACATTTTCCAGCATGTGTAATAACAATGATCAGTAACAAAACAAAACTGCAGGTGAAAGTTATCAAATCTTCTCAGCATGGTAATTAATTCTGTTGAGGAAACAGAGAGTCTGAGATTCTCGAAATAAATGGTACCATTTGGAATACAGTGTTTAGGATCTTCTCCTTAAGGTTGCAAGAATGCAGTCTGGGTTTTGTAAGCCCTTAATAAATTCTAATTGGTTACATGTCACTTGGTTACACAGAAAGAAAAGTAAGCCTGAAACTATGTTAGATTACCATCTTCCCAAACGTTGAAATTATTGTGAAATTCTGCTTAACAGGAAACTGGCTGTTTGCTTTCTTCCCTTGTTATTCTTTCGTATGTTGCTGAGAGATACTTGGAGTTCACTCGAAATGTCTCATATTGCTTAACTGGAAGAAATCTAGCAATAAGAGCCTGTCTGAGGAACTAGCTGCAAGGGTTCAGGATTTTGTTTTATGTTTTACTTAGAATTTTTTGTTTCTCCTCCCCAAACTGAGAGAAAAATGATCAGTATATGTTATTTCCAGCTGCTTTGACATAGATGCCATTTAAGGTTGAAGAGCTGGATTCTGAATATTTAAAACCAAAGTCAGTGTGAGTTTCTGAAAGATTTTGGTCAATGTCAGACTGGACTCTAAATCCAGGAGGATTAATATAGAGGGAAAATATCAAGCATCTTAATAATATGTGTTGCTCCCCCCAAAATTAGCCAGGGCACCCTGGTTCCTTCCTCTATGTAGGCCTAAAGAGTGTCACACCTGTAGGACTTGCGTTCATCTAAGAAATCGGAATTTGTCCTGCCCACTCTCTGCCAACCAAGTGTGACTCAGCTCCCTACTAGAAAGAAGATTAGCCTTAGTTAATAACCTTTATATCTGTCTGTAGGATACTAGTTTAGGAGCTTTGTATGCATCATTCTGTGCCTTTGAAGTCAAAATTTTTGTAACTAATAAGAAAAAGCATAGATGAAATCTTAAGTGTCCTATTCAACCTGGGAATCAGCTGAACAGGATACTCAATTGTCCTAAATTCAGTGTTATGTCCCACACTAAATGTAAACTTTTTTCAGTCTTGTCAGCTGAAGCATTTGGGGATTATCTTAAACAATGTGAAAACCACTCTTGTTTAATGCAGAGGACTAGGAACTTGTCAAGGAGAGTACTTTTTATTTTAAACCTTGCTCTGCCTAGATCTGTATCAAGTAAGAGATGTGCCCTTTGTACAACTCCGCTTGCAAAACACTGAGTTGGACCAGGCCATTTACAGCAAAGACTGAGAAATATTTTTCTTAGTTGATTTAAATGGGTTCAGGAGCTCCAGGTTTTTGATGGGTTTGTTTTTGAAATGAAACACATATAAGAAATTGAAAAGGTCTTAAACAAAGTGTTCACTATAGATGCCAAACAGATCTGTCAGGGCTATTGTGGCATCTTAGTTCAAGACAAATAAGGGTGACTCACTATGTGCTCTGCAGGCTTACCAAACACTGGGCAGTCGTTGTAATGCCTGAGTTAGGGAGTACTCCTAGGTGGCAAGAATCAGCACTGAGAGACTCATACATGACAATGCCCTACCAAAGGATGTAGGACATGTGCTTGAAATGGCACATAAGCCCCTTTTGTGGAAAGGAAAGAGTAGTACTACAAGCACAGTTATTATTCTGAGGCATGGGATTATTCCCTCAAAAGCCGCAATAGGAGCTGCTGTCATTGCAGATGCAGCAGTTCACAGAGATAGAAAACTGACTGCGAGAGTTTGTAAGATCAGTTCTGGTTTTTGAGCTCCCATGAAGCCCAAAAAGCACACTTGCCACTGCATTCAGGAGTCCTGAACCAACCCCCTGTGATCCACCACTTGGGTGCAGCGGGGTTTGGAGATAATCACACCCTGGCCACCATTTGCAGGTGCCAACCCACAGCTGAAATGGTGACAATTTGGCATTGGCTATCCCAGCACCTGAGGTGAACAGCAGCGACTCATAGGAAGGCTCCCACAGGGAACAGTAATTCTCCCATTGCTATAAATGAGCCAGTGCTTATGCACTTTTCTGGATTATGGCCAAACAGAAATTTGTAGTCTCACAGGCTATAAATCTGATGGTGGCAGCAGACAGGACAGGTGTGGGAAGTCTGCAGTCTGCGTTCCAAGCATGCAACTCTTTAGAATCAACTTATTTCTTCAAAAACAAAGCAAGAGTTCAAGAGTTCAGCCTTCATGCAATGTATGCTGCCATGCACATTTATTATCTTTAAATCTCAGCAGCAAAATATTCACAACTGCAGAGCTTCTCCGTTTCAAAGAGTAGCCACTTCTATTTCAAACAGCATTTCAACATCAACTAACTTCAAACACTGAAGCTAACTTCAGCCCTAAGAAAAGTCAGAACATTTGTCTGATCTGCAGTTCCTCTGGCTGGCCCCAGGCTTGATTTGCCTCCCAGATTTTACACTGCTGATACGAATAACCACAAATCTCAGCAGGCAAAATCTTGACCACAATGACCTCATGCTGACTTCAGTAGCACCTGGATCTCACCCAGCACGTAAACCCATGTCACTGCACATTAGAGGGGAGTTGCTGGACAGACATCCCTGGAGATGCTAAGTCTTCTCCTAGACCACAGAGGGTCAGGGTAACATTCTTCTACCTTTCTCCAAGAATAGGCTTTGAACTCCACTAATATGGCAGATTGCTTTGCCACCAAAGCCCATTTATAAATTAAGACCCCTGGCAGTGTCAGCAATTGTTATTATGACACCACTTCTCTGCCTGACTTGGATGTAAGGATTCCCCCTTCCACTTCAAAACATTGCGATCCACAGGTGGAAAGGACTAAGAGCTAACTGTTTTAATGGGGATGATGATGACTGCCACACTGATGTGGAGGAAGCATTTAACACTAGGTGCTGAGGTATATTCTGTGCTCTCAGAGAATATTCCTCATTTCTCTGTGGCCTAGAGACATGTACTGTGATAAACTCAACCATTCCTTTTACAAAGGACATTAAACAGTTTTTAGCAGATGGATGCTTTCCACTGCCTGTTTCCACTTCTGGTCTGGAAACTAGATACTTCAAGATAAAATGCTTTCAGTCCTGAGCCATCTGATTCTTCTTTCTTCTGTGTTTCATAGTCTGAATGTACAGTTTCTGGGTGTGTTTTTGTCATGTTCGAGATATTCTGAGAAAAGCTAAATATATTTATTATAGCATATATATATAATATTTATTATTCATAGCATAACCCACGGAAGATGTGGTTTATCACAGGTTTGAATGGCAAAACTCTGCTTGGTCCAGTTCTTCTGGGCTAAGCACTTGGTAGTGCGTTGAAAACCAGACTGAAAAGTAAAAGAGCGACATGCACTCCCATATCCCCTAAATAAACATGGCTGGTAGTTGAGTTATGCTAAATCAGGTGGAACTGAAAAATGAAGAAAGACTGGGCTTGTGTTTCTGTGGTCAGATGCATGTCAGGATTTTGCAAGTTGATTAAAGTTATGAGAAATGATAAGGCAGAACTTCCTTTTAGCAAGGGTTACCTTATGTCATCTCAGATTCCATGATGGGCAGGCAATATTTGCAATGCATTGTTCCTTTTCACTGATTTGTCTCAATTTTAGCTGGCCAGAAGTCCCCATCCACCAGAAGGCAGAACCTGCCTGTTATTGACAGCCTCCTATGGGTGCACAGAGTATCATTACAGTCTTTTCTCAGTGTATCTCAATGCTGACAGAATTAAGACACCTTTTTAGGCTCATCTGGCAATTCAGCCTCACTGCCCATTCACAGCTTGTTTTCTTCTCTGAAACTAACTTCAATGGATATTGTGGTCCTCCAGCTGAACTCACATTCAGGTCAGTAAAAGTAATATATGGAGTATGTGATTTTTTTTGCATAGACAGTTCTCCTGGGCTTCAGATGAAGAACTTCCACATTTCTCACATGAGGGATCAAACAGGCATCTGACCTTTGGTTGCTACTAATGTGTAACTGAAAGATACTGTCAACTTAAATGAAAATTCTCAGGCATTTCATTAACAGTCTCCTGAAGCACTGAGCACAGTCACCTCTTTGAATTTCTTACAGCAAGTCTGAAGATTTGGCTCAAGGAATAACGTAAATTCAACAAACCCAACCATTCTCATAATCATTGTGATTATGGGAACTCTGCCCAAATTCAAGCTGAAATATCAGTTAGTGATGGAATTTTAATGTTGCCTCTGGCTGGCTCTGTGATATAACAGTGACTGTAAAGTAATTTCCTAAGTGATTTCCTTCTGAAGACTAGTCTATTTCCTGAACTTGCTGGGCATATAAAGAGATTTGTCAACAACAAAGTCACAAACAATGCTGTTTGCAAGGCATGCTCTGGTCAAAGGCTTTGTTTTGCGAAGAAATTATTTCAGGAAGCATGACGTCTATGTTAGCAATGCATTCCTGTTGCTACACAGCTACAACAGAGTTGCATCGCTCACACAGTGATTTTACTAGATTCATTCTCAGAGCACACAGTGGCAAAAACTTTTAATTTCACCTACCTTGAAAAATCTCCCTTTGCCTCCTGTAAAACGAGAAAGAAAAATTAAAAATATATCATTAAAAATAGAAAAAAAATCAAGAAAACAGCTGTTCAAGATTTTCCATTTGCAAAATTCATTTAGCAGCAATTTCCTGTTGTAATTGATTCCTCATGTATTTTTTGGAACCAGTATCTAATGTCAAGTGCCATGATACATGCAGTGAGCTGGGCAGATTAACAAACAAAAGGTTTGCCTAGTTCAGGGCCAGATGATTCCTCATTCTGCTAGTGGATACCCAAGAAGCTGCAGGAGATGATGCTAGTAAATATTTTTTTGCTAGTAAATATTTTTTCAGTGTGGATGCTACATTACTAGAAGATCTCTGAAGTCTCAGTGACTTTGCAGCCTCTGAGACTGCAACTCCTCTGACTCTTTTTACAAGTATCCTCATTATTTTCTAGTAACTAGACTTTCAAAAAGCTAGCTCACTGTCAGCTTTCAAGGTGATGCAAGACAGGTTTCTCTAACTCCTTGCTGAGTGATTGGGTGAGTATTTAGCTCCCTTAATATATCTAGATATTTCTATTTATTACTATCAGAGCCTGATGTTAAAGGGCTGGGTCATGTTCCAGTCCAGTAGTTAGATTAGTACCTGAGTTTTACTGCATATCTGGCGAATCCTTAAAATGTGGTGAGTCCCCTCCTCAACAGATGCAATACGCATTTTGCAATTTCCACAGAATCATAGAATGGTTTGGGTTGGAAGGGACCTTAAAGATCATCTTGTTCCAAACCCCCTGCCATGGGCAGGGACACCTCCCACTACAGCAGGTTGCTCAAAGCCCCATCCAGCCTGGCCTTGAACACCTCCAGGGATGGGGCAGCCACAGCTTCTCTGGGCAACCTGTTCCAGTGCCTCACCACCCTCAGATTAAAGGATTTCTTCCTAATATCTAATCTAAATCTACCCTCTTCCAGTTTAAAACTGTTGCCCCTTGTCCTATCACTACATGCACTTGTAAATGTGCGCTTCCAGCTTTCTTGTAGGCCCCCTTCAGATAATGGAAAGCCGCTCTAATGTCTCCCTGGAGCCTCCTCTTCTCCAGACTGAACAACCCCAACTCTCTCAGCCTGTCCTCATAGCAGAGATATTCCAGCTCTCTGATCATCTTCGTCTCCCTCCTCTGGACTCGCTCCAACAGGTCCATGTCTTTGCTGTGCTGAGGACTCCAAAGCTGGACACAGTACTGCAGGTGAGATCTCACCAGAGTGGAGTAGAGGGGGAGAATGACCTCCCTCGACCTGCTGGTCACGCTGCTTTTGATGCAGCCCAAGCTAACAGGCAATATGCATTTCATATGATGCATGCTAAAGCACCTTATTTGCTGTCAGCTACACAGAAAGCACAGTGCAAGAACGTAATTGGTTCAGTGAGGGAGTTTCCGCTGCCAAGAGGACTAAGTTTTACATCCAATTCTTTTGTCTTTACATCTGTCCATCCACCTGCAAAACCTGTCAGCCCACATCCAGTGATGCTTCAGTCCTGAGGCTGGGGTAAAGTTCATAGTTTTGGTGGTGTTTTAATTTGTTCTGGTAACACAATTTGAAATAAGGCTGCAGACTAAATCACTTGAGGTTTGACAGTCCTTTACTATGTTCCTATTTCCCTCTGAGTGAACTGAAGGGCAGACAAGTTATCCTCCGATTTGTAGGAAGGAGTCCTCCAGCATATCATGATTATAGTTCAACACGGAGCAAAACCCAAAGGATATGCCCTGGCCTGCACAGGGATGAGCATACTGAACTTAAAAATCAATTTTGTAGGGTAGATCCCCCATACTTCAGTTCTTGGACCTAAATGCTGCAGTGAGAAGTAGAACAAAATGTAGTATGTTTTGCTTGGATCCTGTCACAAGCATGGGCTGTAGTAATTTCTGGTTACAGACAGCAGAGGTGTGGCTTGTTTTGACTGTTTTCATTAAGTTACACATCAAACTACTACAGGAATATACGTAACATCCTGTGTTTGTGATGAGAAACAATCACAGCAACAAGGGTTACAGTGGCAGATCTGGATCTGGCTGTACAATTACTAAGCACTCAAGTTATTCATTAGGATGAGCAGACAATAGATTCATAACCCTATTGCTGCCTCGCACAATGAGCCTGTTGTTTGATGTGTATTCCCCCAACAGCCAATATGCAATTTCTATAATGTGTTTTTAATTGAGTCCCCCATCCTGACTCTCACTCCATTTTTGTTACATAAAATGATTTTAATGAAGATTCAAATCCCTACACATTAATTGCTTTTTTAACATGGAAAGTGCTATAGAAGTGCAATGCATTGTTATTTATTAGTGCAGTCTGATGAGATGGCTTGTCTGCTCACATGGCCCCTCATAGCTTCATGGCTGATGGGAAAAAAAAATTAAAACTACACTGTACAAAAGGGGAACAAGGATCATCTAACAATTATCTGTCATCTGCTCCCAGTCACGCTCCTAAAAGGAGATCTTTCACAAAAAACCCACCTCCACTACCCTGAAAAGATTCCTCTTTGGGAACCAGAGATTTATCAAATGCTGCTCGTAATTTTCCCTCTAACCCTTTCCCTCTTCCTGAAAAGCAGGACTTTAAGCGACTTTAATTTTTTTTTTTCCTGGAGAAGTTTTTTAGCAAGTCATTAGTTCCCTCTGCCCATCTTGGAAAGTACAGACAGTTGTGTATGTAGAACCTTATGGAGACTATCAGAGGGCCAAGCTCCATTCGGAAAACACATGCAAGCAAAGTCACTGAAGAAGAAATCACTGTATATGGATTTCCCCTAGGAAATTACATTGATCACTTAGATTTTCTCGGGCTTTACATCATACCACAGGGTCTTGGATATCTGTGTTGGCGCAAACATAATATATGTTTATGTATGCAAAATGTTGGGCAGTGGAATTTGGTCCATGCGTGTAGTCGTCTGATTCAAGAGCTTTCTGTACCTATTTTGCATTGGTATGAATGATGAAAACTGTGTAAAGACATCTTTCTCCTGCAATTGGAGCAATGCCTGCACTTCCATACAACCATTTTGGATTTGGCAAGTTAAAAGATTTAATGCAACACGAGGAAGCACAACGTGAGAGAAGGTGAGCACTTACCTGCAAGATGTATGCAGCCAGTTCAAACACCACTTCACTGTCAACCTCAATGAGTTCCTTGAACGGTGAAGGAAACAAGAAAGAAAAAGAGTTGAGTCAGTTTGAGCTCCTGCAAGAAGGACGTGCATCTCCTCCTGGCTACTGCATGGTGAAGTGTGCGATGCCGGTCTTCTCCCCTGGCTAGGCTTCAAAGCATTCCCTGTGTGCCTGGAGACCAAAGTGAGGGAGAACCTGCCCACTCAGATGTGGAGAAAGCCAAATATTCAGCGTAATGGCTTGGTAAATGAAGCATAACTGGGTGTGGCATGAAGGGATTCCTGGGGAGGAGGGAGGAAAAGACAGGTGGAAGGGGGAGGATCAGTGTAATTTTTATTTTCTTGTGTGATTTAGTGAAAGGTAGCCTGGGAAATATATTTTTTTTCTCCCCCAAATGTCACCCATGCTTCAGGGGAACATAGCCTTATCCTTGGCTCACAGAAGCAAGGAAATGAGAAAATTTATCTTCACTGAGGTTATGTCAAAGCCCCCGCAGAACTCCTCTGGCCCTTGCCCTGGGTAAACTCACAGGAAAAAGAGTGGAAAAACTTCCTCTTGCAGTATGGGAGCTCTAGTTTTGGCCACTCCATTCCTATGAGCACTGGGGCTGGGGCTGCTTTGAGACATGACTGCAAATCTTTTGGTAGATCTTTACTGCTCAGTTCTACAGGATCCAGCCCCTAATGAAAGCAATCTTGAAGGGTCAGGTGAAATTGTGAGTGTTTTGCTTGGACACCATGGTCACATGAAAGACACTGATGGTCCCAAGAGATCCTCTCAGGGTCCTTCTGCCATGCCTTAGATAGTGGCCACAGAACCAAGGGGTCCAGGCTCTGCTCCATCTGAATATGTGAGATGCAGACCTGGCATCAAAGATGGGCCATCTTGTCTAGACCATGCTTTTGACAAGAAAGGTTGGACCAGATGATCCTTGAGGTCCCTTCCAACCAGGTATTCTATGATTCTGTGCTTGGGATGGGAGGCAGGAGCATTAATCTCATGGCCAGTTATGCTGTCCTCAAGTCTCTGGTTCCTGCCTGTGCCAGCGTCTGGGAAGAGAGTGGGCTTTAACTGAGATACTGTTTAGGCCTCAATTCTGCAACTAGATCTCCTATGTTGTCTCCTATGTATGTCGCCACCTACACTGGGTCACTTCAGCTCACTCCTGTTGTGACTTTTCTGTTATATTTATTTAAGCTGCTGTTTTTAATATTTTACTTCATCTGGCAAGAAACGAGGAATCTAAATATAGATCACTGCTGTGATCCGTGCTCCAGCCAAGTCATGGCCACACCTCATTTACAAGCCACAATTGCTGCGTTGGCTTGTCTCTGGCAAAATCAAAAACAAAGGGAACAAAACAGAGGATAAGATCCAGGTGTCCTTGGCTTTCACCAGTGCCAGCTTTTTAAAATAAGCACTTCCTTCACCTCCTCCATAACAACTCATTGGGGAGTGAAGACCAGCTCTGCTACAGGCAATAAACACACCTTCCCCCGTTCAGCTGAACTGCCTGATTCGTGCAGGCACCTGCACTAACGATGTGCGTGTGCCAAGGGAAGCGGCTGGTGTGAGATGTCGATTCAGCTGCAGGCAGGGCTGGGCTGGGGCAGTCAAGCATATCCCATAGCGAGGGGCACTGCAGAGTAGAAACAGAGTGCCCGGTCTTCCTCCCACCTTGAAGCACCAGGCATCGCACCGACAAACCAGCCTCTGCAACCACATGTCGATGTTACGGCAAGTCTATACTAGTAATTAAAGTGGGCCAGAGCCCGTTCTGTGGCCCTAAGGGTATGTGGCACAGTATAGCTCATGATTAAACTCTCTTTCTCCCTCCCTTGGTCCCAGACGGGGTTATCTCAGCTGTGTTGCCTCTCAGGAACAGGTGCTCATCCTTGAACAGTGCCCAAGCAATGTCTGGGACAGGGCTAGTTGGCACAGGCCAAAACCTGTGCCAGAACGTGCTAGTCATTAAACAGCCTGACTGATTGAGGGACAGTGCCTAATGCCAAGCCCTGTCTTGTTCGGTGGCTTGGCCTTTCTGGGCAACAGTAGCTTTCTGGTTCTGTGCGAAAGTTTGGGTGGTCCATGAATGTCTCATTGTACAACAGGTTGGGCAAGGAGGAGTGGTGGGTACAGCCAGAGAAGTACAGCACCTAACACAGCTGGCAACCCAGCCCCAAACTTTCTCAGCTTTCTTCTTTCCCAACTTGAGTAGTCCTGGCATGGGGACATTTGAGGGTCTCAGGTGCTAGCATAATGTTATGAACTACACTTATATCACACACAGTACGGTCTTTCCGGGCTGCAGGCAAGCTTGGAGTGAAGCCATCCGTGGGAATTCCAATGAGGAAACATTTTGTGCAACAAGGAAGATTTCAAGGTTTGGGAGCATGCAACACTCCCTGCTAGCTGCAGGGAAGACAAGCACTGGCTGTGCTTAGACCCTGAATCCCACTCTCTACACCCAGAGGATCCCTCCAGGCATGTCAGCTGGGTGCTCGCCCTGTGTCTTAGCAGAGACTTTGCACCCAACTTTCAAATTCAGCGCCTTTTTTAATAGCACAGCATGGCTTACGGTGGCTGGAAGTCAAATGGAAAGGACCCGCATGGGAGACTGGGAATCCAGCAAGGCTATTTTTGGATGGAGATGACAGTCAGCTCAAATGTGCAAAGTAATGGTTTCAAGAGAGGTCAGACTAAAATAGACCAACCTAGATCTGTAGGCACTTTTTTCTCCCCCCCCCCCCCCCCCCTTTATTAAGCTTTCTCCAAAAAAAGAACAACAGTGTAAGCTTTTCCTGGCAATGCTCCAGAAAGGAACTTCCCCCAGGAACCAAAATGTGATGCTCACTGAGCTTGTTGCTGGAGAGGGCTGACTAAGCACATCTAATTGCAGCCTTGCCAGAGAGCAAAGCTCTGCACAGCTCAGTTCGGCAGCCCTGCCTCTTTCCTGGGCACTGGAAAAAAGGCATTTTCTGGCTTCTACTCTGCATTTTAGGAGATGCAAAGTTAGTCCCTGCATTTTAAGACATGCAGATGTCAGGAAGCAAGGCTCCAGGTTCAGTATAAGCTGGGTTGCTTAGCAGGTCACAAACCTGCTGAAGGTTGAGGGATGGCAGTACGATCACTCCCCTGACTACAGCTGTCTTTTGCTACCTCTTCCTCCCTGGGCAGATGGAAGTGAGTCACCGGGAATGGCCTCTGCCAGCACAGAGGAGGGATTCTCCCAGGGAATCCCAGCTGCTGAAAAACCTCTCCCAGTACCACACACCGAGCCACCCATCCAACCCACCTGGCTGAGTCCGCACGTGGCCAGACTCCATCCACCTCAGCAGTTTCTGGGCCTGCTTAGTTTTATGGATCCTGCCTTTTCACTTGTATGGTTGGGTTGTGGCACCGGAGGGATCAGCCTCACAGCTCTGCCGGGGCAGCGGAGGCCGTGCCAGGACAGCCTTATCTCTGGGACACAGAATGCCTTGCAAAGGGACAGCTCTGAGTTACAGCGCCAGTGACAGCAGGCTGGTGTTTTCAATAGCTTACCAGGCAGGGCTATTTCTGGTACAAAAAACATTTCTCTGTGCATGGCGGGTTCCTAGACAAGGTGATTTTCAGTACACACCCACTAACACCCTTCCCCGCCTCCCATACATCCACATGCTCACTCTCCTGTCCCACAAACTCTGTTACGCTGTCACAAACATGTACTCATATGCATCCCTGACACACTTAAGATTCACCCTCATAGACGCACAAGCTCTCACAGTACAGTCCCACACATGTGCAGTCCCCCACCCCGCACACTCAGCCCCCCATGCCTGCCCCCACTCTCGCACTCACACCACCTCACGCACTCGAACACTTCCCTTGCACACCCTCTCACACACCTACAGCCTCACAAACACACCATTTTTAACCTCTCACAAACTCTCTCCCCCC